AGCAGATCCAGGCAGCAGTCTTTGCGTCAGTATCCTGCTCTAGCAGCCTTTGTTTCATGTCTCTATTTTTGTCTTTACTTGAGCACATGGCTTTGTCTTTATTTGTGTTGGCCATGTGCTCATCTTTTTCCACCTTCTTTTCCCCCTTACCACGCCCCTTTGTTTAACATTGTGTCTAGTTCTCATTCTGTTAATTGTTTTTACCTGCTCCTTGTGTGCTTTCTTTCCTATTTATTTTGCACTCTTTCATCCTGTTCTTGACAGATTTTGTGCCAAATTTTGTTGTTCCAGAGTGTTCTGTGTTTCCAACTGTACTAGAGTTTATCCTGTACTTTAGGTCTTGCTTTGGCGGTACTTCCTTGCTTTGATTCTGCTCCAGCCATCAGACTTAGTGGATTTTCTGCTCCCCTGCCTGTTGCTGACCTTGGTCCTGATCTTCCCCTTTGATTGGTTGGTGGCCTGTGTTTTTTCTGTTTGCCGTCTTTTCAGCAAAGGTATTGTTTGTTACTAGCTCTGCTTTTGAATTCTCCATAAACAGAACCTGACATCACAATCATCCACAAATTAGGACCCAGCAGAACAACAACCCTGTGTCCCAATGTGCATACTATCCATCCTAAATAGTATGCAAGATTTGAATAAGTGTCCCAAAGCATAGTATGCTGAAAAGAGTATGTCAAAAGTTTCCTGGATAGTCTACTAACTCCGGTAGATTTTCGAAGTGTGGATCCGTGTACACTTTAAAGGATAATACTGCCCACAACCTATTGCGCTTTGTAGAAGGATCTAGTTCAGAACTACAAACTAGATGTGTTAAAAAACTACAAACATGACGACTTGGTTAAAGGAGTGTCTAATGCTATTTCATGCATGTTGAGTTATTTATAATGTTAAAGAGTTGGATTCTCATGCTAAATATGGCCAAAGTTTCAAAAAACGATCTGGATGTAGAACGGAGTAGTTTTGTGCCAAATACACTCCTTCCGGTTTCGTACAAGTTTCGGAAAGTTTTTTTTTGAGCATTGATCTTCATGACGTAATGAAGGGAGGAACTCCTTTTATGGGTATTTCTCCCGGAAGAGCGCACGCGTGCATACATCAACCAGGGGTGTGTTTCCCAAAAGCATCGTTAGCTAACTATGATTGTTAGTTCCATTGAACTCTATTGGTAACGGCGGAACTTGCAACCATAGTTGTTTTTGGGAAACGCACTCCAGAGTGTGAGCAAGAGTGCACCCATCAACACGCTTCATTCAGCAGCACTGCACGGGACTTTCTCAAGAAGAATGTCTCCAAAGAAGTGTATTTTTGGCTGTAAGGGAAAGATAACCTTGTTCAGCTTCCCAAAAGAACCCAGCGTTACGTAAACAGTGGATGCAGTTTGTTTTTCCGGGGCAGCAACGGAGTTTTGCAAGTGTGCTTGTTGACGAACGTTTTATAAACAAGGCCCAGTTCGACACTGGATTTGCACATCGTTTGATACTGAAAGATGGAGCGGTCGCAGCAATAAAAGATCATGATTCGGAACTGTAGACGGTAAGTGAAACAGTATCAAATGTCTGTGTTTTGTTTTTAATCGGTGCTCAAGTGCACTGTAAATAGGTTGCTGTAAATTGTAAAAAACAATCCAATTGTGGTACTGCACTGTAAACCATGATTTTTACCATCCCAGCGCCCCCCCCCCTAAAAAAAAATCACAATAACTCATGAGCTTTAGTTCTGATAATATTATTTTTAATTGTTGAACATTTTCTTTTTAAAAGTACAAATTACAAATCTTGACCTCTCAGATGCACTAGCTTAAAAAAGGGCATCACCACAGTCCCCTGGGGACTTTGTATCATGGAAAAACGTACACATACTGAAAAGCAAAAATTGGCAAGAACACTACCAGTCAAAAGTTTTTGAACAGTAAGATTTTTAATGTTTTTAAAGTCTCTTCTGCTCACCAAGCCTGCATTTATTTGATCCGAAATACAGCAAAAGCAGTAATATTGTGATATTTTACTACTTAAAATAACTACTTTCTAGTTGAATATATGTTAAAATTTAATTTATTCCTGTGATCATAGCTAAATTTTCAGGATCATCACTCCAGTCTTCAGTGTCACATAATCCTTCAGAAATCATTCTAATATGCTGATAAACATTTTTGTTATATTATTATCAATATTTAAAACAGTTGAGTACATTTTTCAGGATTCTTTGATGAATAGAAAGATCCAAAGATCAGCATTTATCTGAAATAAAAAACGTTTGTAACATACACTATACCATTCAAAAGCTTGGAGTCAGTATAATTTTTTTCTTTGGGAAAGAAATGATAGAAATTACTACTTTTATTTAGCAAGGATGCTTTAAATTGATCAAAAGTGATGATAAAGACATTTAGAATGTTACAAAAGATTTCTATTTCAGATAAATGCTGTTCTTCTGAATTTTCTATTTATCAAAGAAACCTGAAACAATTCTACTCAGTTGTTTTCAACATAATAATAATAACAATAATAATAATAATAGTTTTCTGAGCAGCAAATGTAGAGAAGATAACTTACTATGCTTCTCTTTGTTCAACTAAGTTAGTTAACTTCGGCTAACTGACATTATTAACTTACCAGTTGATGTTATCATCAATACTATGGCATTCACAAGAGGAGGATCCAAAATACACCTCTGACGTTGCAGACTACATCCAGACTAGAAATCTGAAAATAACAAACAAAAGAAGTACTAGAAAATACTGTTTAAAATCTCCACTGAAACAGTGGTTTGCCTAACGCACCTTACCTCAGTATTTCACGTTAATTCGCTGTTAAGGTTAAATAACGCCAGAGGAGCTAACTTGCATTAAAGGGCAGCAGAATGTACAAATGCGTTTCTCGGTTTAACTAAGGTTTATTTCGTCTAATATAGGTGACCTTAACTTAATCACCAGTCGATGTTATCAGCCTTTTGGTGGCATTCCGGCCGTCTGTCAGAAAAAATGGCTCCAACTCCCAACATGAAAAATGACACGATGAATAATGTTAGTTTGCTGTTAACAAGTGAAAACATCTTAAAATATCGCAGTTTTGCATAAAACAGAAATAATATACTAAACTTTTGACGAGTTAACGGTGCATTTCTCTTTTGTCCTTTTACGGCCACTTCCACCAAACTCCCTTGCCATTGGTCAGTTTTTTTGTGGGCAAGTTCACTACTGTAAATTGATTTACAGTAGTGAGGAAATACAGTAGTGACCGTATATTTTCCCATAATCCTTTGCTGTTTACAGTAAAATACTGTATACACATTTTACAGTATCTTACTGTACATATTACAGTAACATACTGTTCAAATTACAAAAATCGGTTACAGTGTGCTTGTCACACTTTAGATCTGCCCACGGCGCGCATCCAGGAGCTAGGCTGTTTTCGGAGAGAATCGTAAATGCTATATCTTTCTTTTATAAATATGATCAAACTAAAGACTCTTTGGAGATATGAAGGATGCAATACTACTTTATAGGTACTCAGGATTAACATGAGATTGGGTGAAACTGTGTGTTATGTCCCTTTATGTAGACAAGTTTAGATAAAGGGGTCGGAGTTAATAATCAACATTTAACCTTGCTAAAAAAAAAAAAACTTAATGTTATCCGTGTTATATTTTATCTGCAACAACAATGTGAACTTTTCTAAACCAGTAACTTTTAAATGCATCATTATGCAAAACACAAAATAAAAAAAAATAAAAAAAACCCCAGAGTTCTCCACATGAAACACTCACGACTGACAGATCAACATGCTTGGCTACTCTTTTACTCCTTTACCATCCCTACACTTAACTATACTCACTTTCCTGAATGGCTTGCTGTTTCACAAATCAGGTGGAGGTTTCATCATGATTATCAATATCCTACGGAATTTCCTCAGAAATTCTTCCCACGGGCAGCTGTTTTTAGACATGCAAGTACAGCTCCTAGCTACTTTAGTGGGATCAAGAGATGAGATTACATTCCAAGAAATAAAATCTGACAACAATGGTGGAATCAAATGTACTTTAGATCAAATTACACATTTTTCCGGCCGATTGAGCTAATGCACATGAACATTCTACAGTAGACAAACACAGAACTGGCTCTTTTAACTTTAAAGCAGGAATCCCCTATATTCAGAGCTGTTAAGAAAAAGTTTGTTACTTCACTTGTTGTTGTTTTTTTAACATAAATGTATTTTAATGTAATGCATTCTACATGATGCAGAGTGATACATGTAATGAATCTAGAATATATGAAAGTTTCACTTTTTGTGATGAAGTTTTTATGCGATACAGATTAAAGTGGCTTCATAAATTACTTTTTAAAAATAAGCGGTACATTTTTGTTTAAATTGATAGTTTAGTTGTCCTATAAAGATTGCCAAAGTAAAACATAAATTACTTATAGGTATTAAGCAGTGACATTGTCAGGCTTTATATTTACAAAAAATAAGCTTTTTGAATGTGGCAGGATTGTAGTATAACAATTAATAACAAGTTTTTAATGTGATACAGATTAAAGTGGCTTCATAAATTACTTTTTAACAATATTAAAAACACAAAACACACCTGATGCAAATTCTTTGCTCTTCATTTTCTATAAGCAGCGTTAACAGACCCTGTTGTATTTTCTTGTAATTTATTAAAAGATGGTACACCGCCATCTTGTGCCGACTAAACTGACTTGAACGCACCTGACGTCGTAATTACGACTTGTCAACTCGTAAGTACGAACGTCCCAGGAGGACTTGAACGCAGCATTACACAAGGTGCTACAACAGTATAAAACACCAATAAAAGAAACAACACAACTCCATAATAGCAATAACAACAACAACTGTAATTATACCTTAAAGGTTTTCTGTTAGGTTTATTCCATCTATAGGTTTATTCCATCTATAATTAAATACTATAAGTAATTTAGAAAGCTACACGTACCTTAGTAAACGTGTTCATAGCCCCACCCCACTGAATAACACAGCACTACCTAAAAGCAGGAAGTAGCTACATTAGTGGATCATCCATCCAAACCACAAGCAGCTGAAACAGAAAAACAAAGCCTACAAAATTATATTTTGGGCAGATGTGGATTTTTTGATGTACTGCTGAGGCCAGCAATCGAAACTTGTAATCTACATATCGCGTGGACGCGTTTGGGCAAACAAGTACGTCTATATGTGTGTGTGTTTGTGTGCCTGTTCGTCAAATCACGACATCTTATACGGTGCCGTAGCCTTTGCGTAAAATATGCTCTATTTCTGCTCAGCTTGTTTTCTAGCTGAGCAGATGCTATAGTCAGTGGTTCTGTTTCTGTCATGACTGGACTTACTTATTATGTAACGTGTCGCGGTTCGGCTGCCACCTTTTCAACTTCTGTGCCTGATGTTATGGACGCATTCAACGCATGTTAGCCGCTGCTCTTTCTGTCACTGTTACTCACTCATTAAAACAGATTGCAAGGTTTTCAGTACAGTTCAGCACTACGTTTATGTTAACATGAGTATTTGTTTTTCCGTGTAGCCAGAGGCCCCGATTTGTAGCAAAAATATGTTGTCACAGTTTTATTTGCATATAAGTTACTACACTAAACTTAAGCGCGTGTCGAGCAGATGTGAAGAGATAACCGTACAGCGGTTGAAATACTATAGTGTGTTACGTTTTAATTATAATATTTTTAGTAATTATTTTGTGTTACCAGTAGAACACATTACAGATTACTGACAGGAAGACATACTCTATTTGATTTTTTTTCATCGAGAGTTTAGTGTTAACAGTAGTCGCACAATTCAAAGATGTAAAAGCTTCAAGCTATGCAAGCTTCAAAGCTTTATTATAATCGCATAATGCTGAAGATTTTCAGTCTTTCATGTGAAAACACGACCGTAAACTATACATTTCCGCGTTTGCTTCTCTTGTTCAGATGGAAACTAACGTGGGCGACATACAGTCGTATTTTCGTCGAGAGGAATAAATGTGTTGGGAAACCAAAGGCGGCGTCTCAATAGCTGATTCAAAACAACTCGATTATGGTCGAGGGTGTCTCACCTGGCGACTGTTTTAGTGAAATCTCGCCCTCTTCTGACGGAGGTCCGCCACACGCTTCCGATGAAATACAGAAATAGTCGCATTTCTCCGAATCCCCATCACGTGAAAAGTCTCCGAAATATCACACACAATCTTCAGTATTCAACTATAGGTTCCCACAGGAAAAGTCACTCTAAAGAAGTGTTGCAGGCACCGGTAATTAGATACACTCTCAGTGTGATGACTGACGAAAAAAAACAATAGAACCATCACAGAAAATTCTAATAAGTTTCCACTACAAATACCATTACAAACCATCAACGTTTAACCATTAAAACCATTAAAAATGGTTTTCTGTAGTGTGTTTTGAGACATATTCCATTAGGATTTATTGGTTTTAACAAGCCAACAATAGAAGGTGACCAATTACCATTACAGTTTCCATTAAAACCAATACAAGTCCCATTATAACCAGCAAAACCATTACAAATTTTGTGATGGTGTCTATTTTTTTTTTTTCAGCAGAGGCCACACAGGTTAAACTGAAAACCAGCTGCAAATAAAATAACAAATTAAATCTCATATCTCTGTTATTGAGAAGTTTAGCTCTATTTAATAACTATGCTTAATTTCAAATGTTTGAATTTGCTGATTAGCCTATGCCATTTTTTAATGAACATTAATGGCAGATATACAGTGAGTAATTCTATATGACTCGCCTGAATTGTTTAAATTGTTAGTTTCTTATCATTCAACCGGTTAAAATTTACGACACGTGTATGCTGTGTTAGAATGATCACGTCAGTATTTTCACATGCAATATGTCTGTTTAGACTATTGGTTCCTTTCTGGTGACACACCAGCGATAATCAACACCAAAATGAGGGAAACTGTAAAAGGTTTGTGCTCTCTTACACTTTCTTGCCCCCATAAAAAAGTAAAAATGAATTAACGCTGAAATGTTCTGCGTCTTCACTATACTTGGTACTCCCTTAAAGGGGTCATATGACGTTGCTAAAAAGAACATTATGTTGTGTATTTGGTGTAATGCAATGTGTTTATGCGGTTTAAGGTTCAAAAAAACACATTATTTTCCACATACTGTACATTATTGTTTCTCCTCTATGCCCTGCCTTTCTGAAACACGTCGATTTTTACAAAGCTCATCGGTCTGAAAAGCGAGGTGTGCTGTGATTGGCCAGCTATCCAGTGCATAGTGATTGGCCGAATACCTCAAGCGTGTGACGGAAATGTTATGGCCATTAACATACTGTGATGCTGTGTCTCCTGGCACGACGACACAAAACCAATAAAACCCATTACAAACGAAGCATTTGTTGCATCCAGTGGGGACATCATTACTGATTTACTGATTAATGACTTATACTGTGTTTTTACGCGTTGCGTATCGTGCCGCGTGCCGAATTCCTCAAGCGTGTGACGGAAATGTTACATCCCTTACCATATTGTGATGCCTGCAGCAACCACATGTAACGACCGCGGGCTGGACTCCGCTTCGTCCACGGTGAAAGCCGATCCGGCGATCCACAGCGCGAAGTTGATGTATTTCCTCAGCGACCAGCATGGATTAGCTCCAGGCATGATGAAGCGGATATCGTCCTCTGTTGGAAGGCCAAACAAAGTAGTTTCGCTTTCACAACGAAACACACAGCATCTCCACAACATGTCGGCGGCAACAATACTACTGCCAGAATAAAAGTTACGCCTTCTTTCTTTGCGTGAACATTTGGGCGGTGTTATGCAAATCTTCCCACACAGTGACGTAGACATGTGGGGGCGTGTTTAAACAAGGCTTTTTAGGAGAGCGTGGACAAGTCTTAACTTTTATTAAGAATATCTCTTTGGATTTGAGACTTTAGTCTTTGCAACTTTACAGATCTTCTTTATGCACCAAGAGCTTGTAACACTCCAAAGAGAAAGGAAAAATTGAAATCGCATCATATGACCCCTTTAAAACATAAGTTCACCCTGAAAGTGAAACTTAAAACAGTCTTGCTCATTACACTTTAAGTCTAAGGAACAAGAATGTGCAAAATGTTTATGTACATGTACTCTGTGATGTGCACTAGAGAGATCAGTTTTTGTTTCATGGAGCATCCATTTTTACCTCAGTGTCTTCTGTGTGAATGTATCATCTTTGCAGACCACAACAACTGTGATGAGTTTGTAACTAGAGCCTCCAGAAAAATTAAGGGGAAAAAAATGTGGTATACCTTTGCATCCTGTGCCATGATATGTAACCACCAGCTCATTTGAAACAACGGAGTGTCTCATGGGAGTGTCTCACCTGCCAACTGTTTTTGATGAATTCTTGCTTTCTGTGGATGGCCAGTTTCACACACACCTTTTAAAAATGGCAGAACGACTTCCTCTGGAGTACAGATCCATGCCTAGATTCAGTGAGAAAAGAAATTCAAAAAACACAGACTGTTTTTCCTCCTCTTTTTATGCTATGGTCCTAGTCATTCTAGTGGGTGAGACTTTCTCATGGGCAGACAGATAGGTCTGTGGACACATTACAAATGGTGAACAGTCCCAGTTCTGATACTGGTGATATATCAGCACTCCTGTAAGGCCTTTTAGCCAATCAGATTTTAACTTTTATTAACATTTAACTTTTATCTTAAAATTTACTCACACTTATGTCATTCCAAACCATTATGAATTTCTTTCTTTCAAAATTGTCTAGGAGCTCTTGATTCATGTAATGTCATAATTCTTGAATTATTATTTTTGATGAATTTCTAAGGCTAAGGAGCCGTCCGAAGATATGAAGCAAATGTTTTACAGCAAAAGGATACAAGAGTTTGGATTTCCAAGAGGGCACTGTTGTTTCAACTATGAAGTGGAAGCTATATCTGAATTGGAAGCTATATCTGAGTGCACAAATGCTGTGTATAGAGAGCTTTGAGGGATCAACGTTTCTTGCCAAACAATAATGTGACAAAATACAGAGATACCCAGGTTAACTTTGAAAGAGCTGCTGTCTTGACTATCTAAGAACAGAGAAAAGTGAACCGGATGCCTTTATAGGAGGGTGGTATTATGGTATAAGACTATACCATAGTACATTATTCCAAGAACAAATATTTAGTTTATCTCAACTGGCTAGACCTGAAACTCATTGCAAGCTATTAAAATTGTTTAACAAAGTGTATTTGATTAATCAAGTAGTTAATCTGAATTAATATGCACAATTTTTTAGTGTTTGTTTTTTGTAGCACAAACTAGTTTGATTATATAAAGTAATTTTTTTTTGCCTTTGTAATTATTAATAAACATTGATTTTTCCATTTTGTCTCAGGAGCATGGGGCAGCATCTTGGAAAACATGAGCCACTTTCTGTTCCCAAGGTATGTATATCTGTCTGTCTGTCTGTCTATATGTATATATTAGGGGTGTAACAGTTCAGTTTGTATCATCGGTACAGTTCAGGATATGCTATGTTTAGGGAAAAAGGAATATACTGTCAAATAAAAATAAAGAAAATAAGAACAAATAATACAAGCAACAGCACAAATAAATACAATATAGCAAAGATAGAAATAAAATAAACAGTGCTTTTGATGACAGCATAAATGACTGGTCATATTCGAGCATAAAGCACTCGCATTGAAGAAAGTTTACAAAGAGTGACTGTTTTGTCCACATTTTAATCTGAGCAACCCTATGACTCTCAAAAGATTTTAATAATAAAAAAACTACTACTACTACTAAAAATGATAGCTGTAAATAGAACACTAATTTGGCCTATTTTTAAATATTAGCTGATAAATAAATAAATTCATGCATATATACTAGCAGTGTAACAGTTCTCTTTAAAAAACATACCATTCTCCACCCACGGCTCGGCATGCACTTGCACCGCGGTTCAACTTAAATCTGACAAGGCACCTGTAATATTGTTTGTTACAAATAACACGTAAAACAGACGGGGTTCAGCTAATGTATGTTTCTGTGGATGGATACACATTCTGGCTTCCCAATATATTACAACAACAGCGATGAGAGAAGAAAAAAAAATCGGGTGCCTTGCATTATGTTGCAGTAATTTAACCTTCATCCTGGGGGAAAAGTAAGTACACCATTTGTGATCGTCACTTCTTCACGTTAGATTCAATCATTTCTGACAGGTTGACAGAATCAAGGCATTCACCATCCTGGATGCAAAGACTGGTCTCACACGTGTCTCGGTGAGAAATCATAAATGCTGTTTCAGATATCCATGCTGATAAATGTCCTATAGTGTTTCAAAAACGCATGAAGCAGCTAATCAAAGGACAACCATGTACATCATTAATACTGTTTGGGAATATATCCATTAAGGCAAGAGATAAGCATCTTCAGATATGAAGAGATTAGTAGCTGCAAACCCTAAAATCAAGCCAAGCCATTTCATTATATAGTCTCTAAGGTGGTACAGTATGTGTGGGCTACTGTCCCAGTCCACAGGGAGTGTTACATTAGATCCCAGTGCAACAGAAGCTACATGCTGCCCTCTTGTTGATAATCATGGATTACAGAAATTACTTGAAATTACCAACTGCTTGGTAGTAAATGTTACAGTGAGATAATCACTCCCTGTATATCAGCTGATAAGCCAGGATGGAGAATGATGCTTAGAGAAATGTTGCATTTACATCTAAAACTCTGCTGTGTTTCAGAACTGCTGCTTGCCTCATCTGTTTATCACATAGGCTGTTCCATCAATACCATGATGCAGCACTTGGTATTAGCATGTCTTGGGTGACCAATCCCAAGTGATCATATGCAAATGATGCATAAATGGCATCTGAAACTTTTTTTTGATCTGTTCATTCAACCAAAATTTAGTAGCACCATTTAAAGTAACATTTCACACTATTAATAAGAGGTCTTGCAATAAAATCCCAGAAGAATACATTTTGTCAGCTACATTTTTATGATTTCACTAGCCAGGTTTACATAGGCTTGCACATATTTTTATGCAGATTTTTACATTGAAACCACAAGATGCGAATAGATCTGGAAACTTTAACAATCAAATGAAATTAAAAAAATTTACATATTTGTGTATGCATTCACTTGAAGTGTGTATATTTTTTATTTGGTAAGCAGACGCGCATAAACTACAATGGAAGCACATCCAATTCCTAGAATTCAATTGGTTATCAGGAAGGCTATTCCAGATTTTGGGAGCCAAATGCGAAAAAACTCGAGAAGCACGTAAAAATAAATGAATAAAAAATTGTTTTGCCTCAAGAAGTCATGTAACTAATTAATATGCTCAGAGAAGAAAAGAACTGTTGCTCTGGTGATTCTGAAATGCTGGAGCCAAAGCCTATCATCAGAATAATTGGCTACTATTACAGTACATCTCAGAATGCTATCGCCCACAGACATAAGGCATCTGTCACCGATCACTATCAAAAAAGAAGTTTGTGTTGTTTGTTTGCTTCCATTTTTTTTTAAAGAGCAACAGGGGTTTCCCCATTTGCTGCTTCTTCCATTTTGTTTCATGTCAGTTTTTCCAGAGGGGATGCTTTAGTGTGCTTTACACAGGCACTGGGACTAAATTCATTTTCAACAAATAGGCAA